GAGTGAAGGTGTGCGTGCAATATACCGGCGGGCCAGATCTAATAGTAATTAGAAATTATCCTGCGGGCCGAAATTAAATCCACCAAGGACCTGATTTGGCCCCCGGGCCTCGAGTTTGACACATGTGATCTATGATATGATGACACCGTTTCTGGTTGTGACCTCTGAGAAAGTTTAAGATATAAAAAAAAACGTTGCTGAACCTAATTTGATGTATGTTGTTCTGATAGTGGCCAGATTTAAAACCACATGTTGACTACATTCAGTCAAACCCTATTGAGAAGGCATCCAAAGCGCTCCAAGACGTTTTACATTTCTGTCTTTACGTCAAGTGATTCTTCAGAGGGTCTTTTCTTATAACAACATCTCTGAGTGCATCATCACTGTGTTTGTTAATGAATGATAATGGCAGCAGCACATTTCTCCCCTGGGCTAAGCAAACCTGTGATTAGTGGTTTAAAAAAAGACCCCAGGGGGCTCAGTGTGACTCAGTGGGGGGGGGGGGGGCGGGGGAACTGTGGAGCTGAACTAATCTGATTGATGTGGAAATGATAAACAAACAAGAGGGCTTTCTGACGTGGAAGGATGATCAATGGAGACGTGTGTTAACAAGAACGAGATAAAGACAACATGAGAACAAATCAGTTACACCTGAAGAGAAGAAACTAACACAAAGCCTGAGGTTTACTGTAAATAATATATCAGGAGCCCCCTCTGTCTTTGAGATTCAGACACAGATTTCACTCAAATCACCTTAAAGGGGACCTATCGTGCAAAATAAACATTTTGATGTCTTTTCTACATAAACATGTGTCCCCGGTGTGTCAGGGAACTCACGCAGCATCAGAAATTAAAACCCTCTCTCTTTTCCTCCGTACCCAAATCTCTAAAAACGGGGGAGCAACGGAGCTGATCCAGATTTGCGTCCGATATGATGTAATATCTGAAATGTGGTCCCACGGCCCAATCAGAAACGTTGCTATCAGAAACAATGCCCGACTGTTTTGGACGTAATATGGTCGGTGTTTACATTAGCATCGCTAACACTCAGAGCTAACCTGTACTGGAGAGCATGTGTGTGAAGAAGCAGGAAGTAAAAAGGAACTCACCTTGTGGTATAACCGGCAAGAGAGAAAGCCTTTGAGCTCCATACTGTTTCAGAGAGAATCCTTGATAATCCATGATATGGAGTTTCATCACGGCAGCATTTAGTTTAGACAGTAGCTGCCGGGTCCCGCATGAGCTCAGCCCCCTCCTTTTTATTTAAAGCTTTATACCCAAATCAGCACTTTTGAAACAGGAAGTGAAATAGAGGAATATGAGGCATGGCTAGAATGGGTGATCTGTTTGGTATTTTGAGCAAAACACTTCATCGACATGTTTTTTGTATATTTATATATATCTGAGACCTCTGCTATTGCCTAAAAATAGCACGATAGGTGACCTTTAAGAATAATATAAAACATAGAAGCAGAGATTTATCATATTTAATAAGCTGTAAACTGTAAATATTTGATGAATTTAGTGGATAACACAACTGAAACACTTATTGATCCGGTGCATCAAATTTCGCTGATATAATTATGTCTAAATTCAGGGAGTGAGAGGCAAGATCTGCGTCTCGACTGAGGGCATGACAGTCTTCAATGAAGTTAAATCAGTTTATGTCGGCGTGATTGAATAAACATCAGGGCTGAAGGTCACAGCTGGAGGGGAGGAAGCTAACCAGGCAACAGGTTGAGGTTAACCACTAATGCATGGAGGGAAATGACAGAATATATTGCAACTATGCTATCCTATTTTATTAATTTTTTCAACTTAAAATGTATGATATGCTGCACATCTTTCCATATAGCATAGGATCATATGGAATTGTGGGTAATATGTCCTGCTCTAGAAGGCTGAATTAGACAACTGCATACAAATGAGGGCTGGGAATATCATGTAAACGTCCTTTTTTATATCATAAGTAGAGTTTTTACATGGTTTTAAAGGCTACAAATAATAGTGATGTATTTTTCTGAATTCACCGCACTTTCTTTTATCTGTACAGTCATTGGCCTTTACCTGCTTAGTCATTACATTTACATATCTTAGCGGACGGGTGGCGCAGTGGTCTGTGCATCCGATCATCAGATCAAGGGGGGGTGCTGGGGAACTCCAGTTCGAAACCCGCTCCTGCCGCCACTGCGTCAGGCCGTTGTGTCCTTGGGCAAGACACTTCACCCGGATTTGCTCCTGTGGGTATTGTCCACAGTACATGTATGATACCAATGTGTACTTGTAAAAGCACCTCGAGGCGTGAAGATGGACGGTGTGGCGCAATGATCAAGGGGTGAAACCCGCCGCTGCTGCGTCTGTAAAGCCGGTGTGTCCTTGGGCAAGACACTTCACCTGAACTTGCTCCTGTGGGTATTGTCCACAGTATCTGACCATTGCATGTATCATATATGTGTAATGTGTGTATATGTAAAGCGCTTTGAGTCATTGAAAAAGTGCTATAATAAATGTAAGGAATTATTATTACATTACTGAGGATTATGTATCACATTTCGCATTGTGCAAATACTTTGAGAAAGCATCATTTGGTAAAAGCTGCAATATAGACAGAGGTTTTCTCATAAAGAATATCAGATTTGTTTTTCATATATAACTCATCATGGTTAGGTGCAGCTCCTGCCTGCCTTTTATTTTGCAGCGAGGGCCAGAAAGGTTGATCTTGCCGACAAACAGCAGCAGATTTGGCCTTATCAGCACTACTTCACTCCGTGGTCCTGTCAGCGAATCAGGAATCAGATCTGAACATTTTGGATTCAGTCTTATCATTTAGAACAGTATTACACCTCTTATCCTCAGACACACAGCAACTACGATAACTGAATACTGTTACACTAACACTTATGCGCACTGGAATAAATACATCCACACACAACTATTTGGTCATTAGATCATCCTTTTAAGCAACAAAGCCATATATTTGAGGCTCCAGGGTCTCGATTATAAGGTTTTGATGCCTTTCTTTGTTATAGATTATTACAGTAAATGTAATAATTTTGTGCTGGTCAAATAAAACACGACATCTGATGAAAATGCCCTGCCTGTGGGAAAATATAATTGGCATTTTCATAGTTTTTGAACAGGAAATTGTTGTCAATAGTCGCTGCAGCCCTACACTCGTCATTCAAAGTGACAGTAGGAGTGCAGGTGCCGTAAAACATCAAATGTATCAGTTATTCAAGTTGTTATGAAACAAACATTAAAAACATATCTCACCAAATAAATCCCACACATACGCTTCTTATTTTTCTGCGCACATGCAGTAACATGCATACGAGCCCATAATATCATTTTTTTGTTTATTGATATGTTTTCATTGCCTCTGATTTGACGACAACTCATCAATTCTTAGCAAGAAGGCAAACTTCCAAGTGTTCAAACAACAGGACTTCAAAGTAGATCACATGATCCACGATCACTAATGCAGATGATTCAAAGTGAATCAGACGCCTTACACAGAACAGACCACAAGCTGTGTGTTTGGCAACAACACAAAGCAGCAGTGGTATACAAACAGCCTCTCGGATGTAGATTTACTCCTGCAGTGTCACTAAAGAGTGTGAAATGTTCTGCTGCGTGGCCGTCATAAGACACATGGGACGCATCAGAGTCAAAGAGCACTAAGGTAATGTCAGCTCACATGCACCTTGCTATTCAAAACAACGAGTTAGGGTTTTAACAGAGCAGTGTGGTTAAACTGAATACAAAAGGCGCGTTCACACCGGAGTACTTTTTCCCGTTTAGTTCCTGGGATTTTGCGTTCACACCAAAAAGAGAACTTAGTTCATGAGAACTTTTACCCCTTTTTTAGTCCCTGCTAGACAGGTGGTACTTTCCTGGGGAGAAAAAAGTTCCAATTTCTGATTGGCTGGGCGAATTACAAACCACGCCCCGTGAAACTCGGAAAAGTCATTGTATTTGCTGGCATTCGCATTATTAGCATTAGCCCAGCGCAGAAACGGAGAGAGACTAACTTATGGCAACACAAAATAAAACATGGGAGCGGTGGAGCGGTGGAGATGAGGAGGTGTCGGCGTTCTGGCGATTTACTCGGAAGGCTTCAGTAGAAGCTGCTGGGACTCCCAGCAGCTTCTACTGAAGCCTTCCCCAACTCCGGGGACTTCGGGTGGCAGTATACGCTGTGAAGTTGTTTTCGGCCTGCCAGTAAACCCAAAGCAGAAGAAGAAGAAGTGACGTCAGCGGCTTCATTTGCCTAATCCACCCCCAGGAACTTATTCCGGTGTGAACGCGATCGGTTCTTAGTTCCATGGGGGAACTAAGTGCTGCGAACTAAGTACGGCAAAGTACTTGGCGTGAAAGCGGCTAAATGGAGTACTTCAACATGTTTAATTACTGGAATACAAAGAGGCACTAGCTTATTATTCTATGTATTTCTGTTACACAACATTGTTCTACTGGTAAGGACAATGGTGCCGCTTCCAAAATCACATTTTAAGCTTAAATGTGCAACTTTACACAGTTTGTGGCTCTGCTGAGCTCTTACAGGCAACTGAAATGATTTTCAAAGCGCCTCAAATATGGAAAAAATGTTGTGGAAAAGAAATCTAAACTATTTGGCTTTCCTTAAGAGGAAGACAACAAGAAGTTACATGACTTGTATTGGCGAAAAGTACAGAGCCATAGTCAAAAAATACATGTGTCAGACACACCCAAATAAAAGCTTTTACACACACACGTATAATGTTTAAAATATGCTGAAGAGAAACTATCAAAGTCTTTCTACTTCCCAAGATCTGTCTTCTTTATTATAAATAGTATGTCATATTGGATTAGAATGGAAATGCCTGTTCTGCTCCTGGTATATTTCTATATTTAATCTATTATTTCTCTAACAGACTGCCATGATGTCGACACCTGGCTGCTAAGAGATGTCGGGTGAAACTGTGACACCTTTGCTGTGTAAACCAGTGTGCTGTACTCACCCACAGACTGGGCAGCTTTGGTGTTGAGGTCCCGGGCGCAGACGGCGGTGCCGGGGCCACAACTGGTCGACGGTGAAGATTCACAAAGCCTTAGCGTGTAGCCGACTTTATTAACCTGGTCTATGGCCTCCCATTTATAACTGCAACACAAGAAAAGAAACACATGAAGTAAAGAAGATGGAGAGGAATTAGGTTTAAACATTTATCAGTTGGACCTGCAGCGTTAAATACATTCCATGTTTCCTTTGTTGTTCATTTTAAAGAGCGCAGTGCAATGGCGAGAGCAGCACCAAGCAGCCGCTACTACTAAGACCATTCTCACCACCAATTCAAATAGATGCTCGTCAACGTGATGTCTCGAAGTTTCTTGTTTAGTCCGACCGATCCCCAAAGGTATCTTATTTAAAATATTAGTATGAAGAAATAAGCAGAAACACTTTGTAACACATCTAAGCACAATTACCAGATGCAATGTGTTTTAAAAAGTAAATATATCACACAAATAAGGTATGTGTCGTGAGCAATGTTTTTTCTGTTAGTTGTTAATGCTTTTTCTTGTCACCCATGTGTTGTTTCTTATTTGCATGAACACTGAACCAAGGTTTTATGTTACAGAGTCCTGCATATACAAAAATGACAAAAACAACTATTAGTTTAAGCACCTTCAAAAATGTCTCAACACTCAACCACAACTAGCTAGTCAAGAAAATGTACATAAAAACATGTATTTCTTGTAAAATATTAGTGTGACCTATTTCTGTAAATGCTACCAAAACAAGGAACTAACTAACAGCTGCAGCCTGAACTCACAGATTAACTTTCTGGTTATCTTTTCATTATTTCTGTGTCAATATTTGAACAGCAGCTCCATTAAAGTACAGCACTGCATGTAGACAACAGTGAATGCCATTTACTTTAGCTATGATATAACTGCGCAGTGTTTTATAACTGATTTATGGAAAGTCATATAAACGAGTCATGTCCGTTTACGCTGCTAACAATTAGCGTTAGCTTGTTGACATGACAGATTTCATGTAACGTTAGCCGCTAGCACGTTAGCTTGTTACAAAAACAACATATTGTTAAGTTCACTGCTTTGACTAGAGACAGTTTAAATTAGGATAGAAGCTAATTGTATTCAATTGTTGTCAAGTTAACTGGTTTAAACGTATCAAGTAGCACATTCAACACAACAAGACATTATTTTTAATCTATATGTTAGCTAGCTTGCACAAATGAAAGCTAATAGTATTTAATTAACATTAGATATATTGTAACTGAAACAAAGAGCTGATTATTTATTTGACAGTATACATTCATATGACATCAGTGGATCCATTGAAACCGCGTCAATAATAAGCAAATAACCACATGTAATTATTCCTATTGTTATTACTGGCTGCTGTCCCTTAGCTAGACAATTCAACTTCTGTAATACATCTGTAAATAACTGTACAATACATACTTCCACCTTTCATAATAACACCTGGCTGCTATCTCACAACTGTTACTAGTACTGGATGTGTACATTGTGTAATTTCTACATTTATCTTTAATATTTCAAAGCATGCTACTTAATTAATATGAATCTTTGGCTCTTTACTTGCTGTAATAATGTAAATGTCCCCTATATGGGATGAATAAAGGCATATATTTAGCTAAAACATGTGTGCACATAAGGGTATAACACGCAGTAATGTGTTCCTTTCTGGAATGGGAGGTGTGTTTGTGAGCTGTTATTACCTGCAAAGGTCCTGGGGGATAAATATCCACATCTAATCCTGCTAATATTTAGCTTAAACATTTGTGTACATGTTTGTTTTGTTAGCTAGTATTACCTGCAGAGGTCCTGGTACCACGGGTTCTCCTCGGCTCCGGACCGGACCGACAAACACACCAGAACCGACACCGACCAAAGCACCAGCTTCAAAGGCGAGCATCGGTCAGATTTACCCAGAAATAACATGTTTTCTGCGGTGGATTCTGTCGGTGCAGACTAACTAAGACGACGACATGATACGGCAGAGTGGTCTTTCTGCTCTGGAGCAAATTGGTGAGGAAGTGAATGCACCACATGATAGGACGTCACATGACTCCCATGGTGCTGACTGATGCTGCCTTCATGATCTGTGGGAAAATAGGAAATATGATAAAAATGTTGCTCTTTTGTAATGTTATATTTACTATCGATTTTTAAATGTTAATTAATAAGTTGGTGAAATTATAATTTTTGGATGTGATCTACAAAATATATGTTTATATCTTGTTTTACTGTATTTTATTTTGTCTTTGTATGTCTATTCATAAAGTTGTTAAACACCCAAAGATTAGATATTTAACATTTATCTTTGAACATGAACGTCTTGTTTCTACATGGTACCTGAACGCAGCATTCCTGAACGACTTTCATTGAATTTCTTGTGGTAAGAAGAAACGTCCCAACAAAAATAATAGGAATGCAGATCATACAGTTTCACACATAATGCTCTTTGTTCGATGGTACATGAACGCACCACCCTTTATGACACATAGCCTTTGAGCCAAAGAGCAAACGTCTTTTTATTCTACCTCAATCAGACCTAGATATGTAACCATAATATTAACCCTATAAATAACATTATAATTAATTTAGTTGTTAAAAATCATAATAAAGCTGCAGCTGTTTCTGAAAGTGACAACGTGGAGCAGAAACGCTTAAATAATAGGAAGTGCGCGCCTTTAGGTGTCATGTGGCGCACCCTGGTGGTCATATTGAACCACTACAAAACTACACTCATCACTTACTAAAAGGAAACTGCTTACTCAGGGCCAGTTGTCTAAACAGTGTTACATTTTGGGGATTTCCCCCCTGTTATATTCACAGTTTCTAAAAAAGATAGTTTTTATTCAGAAATGTGGACACGCTTTTGCTGCTAAGGGCTCTTTTTGAATGATTTAGCTGACAGTACAGTGGTGACAGGAAATGGAAGCAATAAAAACATGCAACAAACCCCTTTTCAAACTTGGGATTAGTGCGAGTGCATAGTCAGCATTTCAGACAACATTTTATTATAATTTCTAATTTACCTATTGGAAGATGCTTACAGTGTTTTCCCTCTAGCATTGCTTTAAACAGTCCTTGATCTGTGCAAACGTGTATTCGAAACTTTATTTAAACACATATGATGCTTCAGCAGTCTGAGTTAGCTAAATATAGTTCAAACGTTTTTGTTTTTTTAATGAAATGTTCTCTTTGAGTGTCTTTAGACTTAGATCAGGGGGGTCAAACTCAAATACACAGTGGGCCAAAATTTAAAAATCGGTACTCGTCGAGGGCCGGACTGGTTCAATGTTTATTGCAAAACTTATTGAAATGAACTTATTGCACATATTAAACCTGGAACTAACAAAGCTTTAACATTAAACATTAAATAATCAGCTGCATTCATTTCTTATGGCTCTATCTGCAGCTTTTCTTATGATTACATTTTTCCACAGGCCAACAAGTTAAAAAAAAAACTATTTCCCGCAAAGAAAATACCAAACATGTCCTGTTGTCTCAAGAGAGAAAGTGCAGAAGGAAACATCCATTGAACTCAGTGTGCTGCTCTGTGATGCTAGTTCAGATACTTGGCATCTCTTCTTGGGTGCAGGTTCATCAATGTTTGGGCTCAGGCTCTGAGCTGAGGAGACCCTCAGGATGGAGTGAAGGTGTGCGTGCAATATACCGGCGGGCCAGATCTAATAGTAATTAGAAATTATCCTGCGGGCCGAATTGAAATCCACCAAGGGCCTGATTTGGCCCCCGGGCCTCGAGTTTGACACATGTGACTTAGGTAATGAATAACAGAAAATACCAGGTTCTTTGCAAAGAAGGTAAGAGAAAATAAATATGTTACGTAAAAGCGATGAGTCAAAAATATTGTTGCAAATTGTTGACCTACACCCTAATAATTAGCCCATTGCGCAATATATGTCAAGAAAAAGCCTAAAAATAACACCAATACATTATGAATAGATATCATACTGTGTTAGCCCCTTTAAACCACTGCAGCGCCCTCTACAGGTCAGACTGAATGCTTATATATAGAGCCTATAATCAGTGAAGTGATCACAGCTGCTGAGGAGACAGTCAGGACGCTAGTTTGTTAGTATGTTGAAACTGTGTTGCACTATGTGGCTTCTGGTCTTCATCTGCATGCTTTCAGGTGAGAATGTAAGCATTCAAAAGTACAAATTGTGCCTAATAATAATAATAATGATTATTCACTCTTTCTTTTCATGCAGTCGTTGGTGGTGTCCCTATAAATGCAACACAGGAGGATACCAGTCATGCAACAGGTTGGTGTTCAATTGATTATTGTTTTTTTTAAAGCATTTGATCAAATATACAAATTATTAACGAGGAATTCCATGTTTTTGTAGACAATGTTTCTACGATGTCAGATGTGCAAAAACAAGGTAAACTGTAATTGTATACAAACTGAACATTCTGTTTCTATCTCTATTTGTTTTAAACTATGTTTCACTTAATATTTAATGTACAGGTAGTGTCATCCCCTTAAATGGCACCCAGAATATGACTCATCCTGCAACAGGTACGTTTATCAGATATTGAATGTCGTGTTTTAAAATGATTAGATTTAACCCTCAGATTTCTCTAGGTGTGTTGGTTTCAATGCTAGAGCCACAGCGATCCAGTTCAGAAACTCTAGAAGGTAAACTTTGAATACATGTGTAAAACAAATCTAGTATTTCATAGATGCAATGTACAGTGACTCGTTTTATCACGTCCTAGGGCTTGAAGATGACGTGTTTGTCCATGAGGGAGACATTTTGATCCCGGTAAGAAGGACAACTTTTATTTCCCACATTTCTTTAGGATGCAATGACATTCCTGGCCAACTGTTTTTATTATTGCAAAACAAAGAATAAAGACTCCTGAGCACCAAGGGGCGAGCCGGCACACTAAGGGAAAGCATTGAAGGGGACATTAATACAACTAATGCATTAAACTACAAATATTTAAACTAATACCAATTCTACCTTTGCCACCACTACTCCCCTCCCCGACTACTTCTTAGAATTATTACAAATAATAATAATGCTTTTTTTTAAGTCAGGAAGACCTTAAAGGTGGGGTAGGTAATTCACTTCAGAAACACTTGTTATTCTTTCACACACAGTGACGTCACAGCTACCCACAATGCAACGCGCGCCATATATTTTTTTATAAAGACGCCATTTTTCTGGAGGTGCAAAAATCCTGGCGATGCTAATATAAACAGCTAGCTAATGTAACCAGGCAGAGCGCACTAGGTTTTTTTTCTGAATTAACGACCGAAGAAATCGCTGCATGTCTTCGGATTACATCTCTGGACTTGAGGGGTGTGCTCTAGGTCGTTACCAGCGTAAACTAGAGCTGTGTGGGTTGTTGGATGTACAATGTATGGAATTACGACCCTCAAAAGTGGCCTTCGGTCGATTTTGGCAGCATCTACGTCTATCTTCTGGAAACACCAGGTGAATACCCCACTTGTCACAATAATATTATCATGCCAAAGCATATATGTGGTATTTTAGAGTTGACTATATTGATTAAGGAATAGACTATGATATTCTGTATGCACCTCGTGTGAAATGGTTGTTACCGGAAGTACGGTGTCGCCCTCGGCCCAAAACCCGTGTGTGTGTGAAAGAATATTCCATGGAATGATCTTAACATCCCGATAGCAATGAATACATTAAATGCTAATGTCATCTGTGGAAGCCGTAGCGCTGTAAAAAGCACGACCAATCATCTGAGCCGGCCCGGCTAAAGTAACTGGATGGCATACCTGCCTGTCAGCCTTCCATCTGTGCACAAACTCATCTCGTGCCCTCATTGGTCATGTGTGTGTTGGAGGAAGGGCTCTGTGAGGAAGTCTGAAGGAAGAGGCAGATTTTTTTCGGCTGCGTACTTTACCCATGGATGTATAAGACTAAAGACTTTACCTACAACCCCACCTTTTAAGTTGTAAAATTAAGTCTGCAGAATTCTGCAATTGTTGATGGAAATTGGTCTCAAAACTGGTAAATTAAGACAATGAACAACTATATTTATAAATCCATGGAAGTGTTGAAAGTGTGGTGATAAAACCGAACCGTTGTTGCTGTTTATATTTTCAGGAGGACAGGAATGCCGTGCAGAACCTGTGGTTGGACGCCGTCATGCCGTACACCATCAGTCAGGAACTCAGTGGGTGGATTCTTTATTAACCCGCTCTAATGTTTGACTCATTAGCAACAAGTGATTAGCAACTGTTATGTTTTCATTCCAACAGCTGATCGAGCGTTTGACATCCACGCTGCCTTCAAGATGATCTCAGACGTCACCTGCATTCGCTTCACGCCTCACACCACAGAGCTGAACTACATCGAGTTCCGCAATGGCAAAGGGTGAGAGATGTTACTATTCAACCCAAAACTATTATTATTTCTCTCTTGTCTAGAGGTATTTTGATTCGTGTCTACACTCATAACTATCTAGTAGTAATATAACACTTGTGAACACCTTACATATATATTTTTATTTTCACAAAAGGCAGCAAATGAAGGCAAACTCTTTTGTTTTTTAAGTATTAGAAGTTAAAATACAAGTGTTGCTCTCGTATAAATAGCCTCGACTGAAGGTTATTTATTTATTTATTTCAGGGAGTTTCTCCAGTGGGTATAGTTCCAATGATAACTGGGAAGATAGATTTTCTTGGGGTAAAAATGGTGCAAATAACTCTCAGAAATAAGGTCCCATGGAGGTCCCCCGGAAAGGGAGGCACTTCGCCTCTCTATACTGCAGCAACACGTGGATACATTTGGTTTAAAAAATGTCTTTCTGCATGGCCTTATGTTACCAGAAGTAGGAGAGTAAATGCCTTTTCTTGTCTCTGCAGCTGTGCGTCCTACGTTGGATGTGTAGGAGGAGCCCAGAGGCTGTACTCCGCCCCCTCGTGCTCTGTGGGTAATGTTTGCCATGAGATCATCCATGCTCTGGGTCTGCACCACGAACACAACCGCAGGGACCGCGACCAGTACATCTCTGTGGAGTGGAGCAACATCATGCCAGGT